AAAGGAACCATAGGTGGGTTTAAATGGCATTTACTTAAAGGCCCATTTACATTGCCAGAGTGGTGTATGGGGGTCTTAGTGTAAATGAGAGTCTGGCCCAGAAAGTCCAATATTATTAACAAAGGAAATGGTCACTTTTTGGTTTGCAATTCAAAAATAATCTGGATATCTTTTCTATAAACACTTTTTTAAAAATGGACAAGCTATTATGACTGTGTGATAAATATCCTTTCATTTGGTGCATTCACAAGTTGCAAAGTTTGTACAGTTTTCTGATCATTTCTAATTTTTCCTTCTTTCAAAGGCCTATTTGAAACTGTTCTTCGTGGCAGGATACAGACCAGATCTCATCTTCAAAGATCCAGGCAGCTGCTTGTAGAATAAAAATGTTATAGCCTTTATTGTTAAGGACACTGCATTTGATTTAGAAAGCTATTTTTGCTGTCCATTAACACTTTTCAGGCACTCAAATTTTGTTGTTTTTGCCTTTCTAAACGAACTATCAGTTCTGTGTGATCCAGAGTCATATGACAAATTTTCTTTTAAGCCCATTAGTTTCATTTCATATTAGTTCTACCAGGTCACAAAATGGTTAAATGACTTAGATCAAGTCAGTTGTAGAGATGAGCATGGAACCCAGAGATCCTGACTGGCAGCTTTCTTCTAATCACTCACCAATGCAGAAATTTTACCTCCTTGACGATCCAAAATTTTAAAGAAAGCCATGTGGTTCTTGGAATATGCATGCCAAAAGAAAGTGAACCACTTGTATTATATTGGCACCACACAAATCTCTGTTATTAATATTCATCAGGGTTTTGCTTAGTGCTTGTATGTATCATTTTCTAGGAATTCTGTTTTAAAATATAAGTTGGATAATTCACTTCAACTGTCTAATATCATCCAGAAAGAATTACCAAACATAAAAGGCGTATTTTGTTGTATTCTATCCATACTTGGAAAGAAAGTGCCCCCAGCATCCAGAAAAATGTGGCTCTCCTAACAACCACACACATTTGAATGTTATTTGGCTTATTATAGAATGTCTAACATATATATATGTTTTAAAGTTAGACATTCTATAATAAGCCAAATAACATTCAAATGTTATTATTTAAATTTATAAAAACTGAAAACAAAGCAAGCAGGAGAAGCCATAAAATCTCCAGTGCCTGCCTCAACAGAAATTGGTAGTGATCATCTGCAGTTTCTCAGGGTCTGTAAAGCGAGGCTTTGAAGTTGACACTGCAGGCAGAAAGTCTTCATAGGTGAACAGGCAGTTTGAAAATAACTCAGGCAAACCATCTTAATTCTTCTAAAACTGGCTTCTGAGTGGAATTTTTTTTTTAAAGTTAATTTTCAAGCCACCAATTTGTCTACAAAGAACAATATTAGCTAGTCATGTCAACTTCAAAGTCTCACAAGAGTTACTGGCTACAGCTGCACACAGGACACTTCACAAGCAAGGAAGTTCTTGTCCTCAGGCTCCTTATGTGTCTAACCTTTTATTTCATTTTTTTTTAAATGTAAAGAAAAAAGTATGGGAAAAATAGTAAATTTCTCCCTAGGGGAGGCTTGTGTAGTTAATAAGTATCAACTCATCCAGATTGTTTTTACACATAAAAATCCCACATGGCTTGGAACTACTACTGCTAGGCAATTATACTGCTCATTTTGTAACACATATTTTAGAAATAATGTTACATTACAAAAAAAAAGGGGGGGGGGAATAACAAACAGCTAACACATAACTATATGAAATTGACCAAATCTAGAGTCGTGGGAAATACAGTCCTACCACACCTCCACACCCCACCCCACAACCCCATAGGGTTTTGTGGCTGTAGGGCTGAGAGCATGGGGGGGGGGAGGGAAGTGCTGCCAGGTTTTCCCTCCCTTTTTTAAGTTAATATTTTGAACTTCTGTTTACATGAACATACTGAACTGACTGGTCAGCCACAAACCTCATTTGGAACCGTAAGTATGCACTCAGGCAGAAGCAGAGACCCTCCCCCCCCCATCTAACCCCCCAAAAAAGGCAAATATTGCGTTAAGTGTAAACTACTAAAAAAATGAAGAGAAGTGTTTTAAAAATGACAAGGTAAGTAAACTGTTTCTGTGCTTATTTCATCTAAATTAAGATGTCTAAAAGCAGCATTTTTCTTTTGCGAAGTAAAGTTTCAAAGCTGTATGAAATCAATGTTCAGTTGTAAACTTTTGAATGAATAACCATAACATTTTGTTCAGGGTTATGAACATTTCAGAATCAGGTGAAAGATTTTACACTAGAGTCACTGGATCTAATTTCAATCAGTGAATAAAAAATACTTGAAGTTAAAAGCGAAGTGTTGAAGAACATCAATGTTCTAAGATGGGCCTATTAGGAAAAAAATAAGAAAATTAAGAACTATCAAGAAATGAAAAGAAGAAGAGAAACAAGTAAGTGGAAAGAGATGACCATGTCCAGTGGGTAGTATCAACTAACATTGGATGCTGAAGGAGATGGTGGATCTGTCAATTTTAAGAGAGATTTAGTTTGCCAGAATCTACAAGCTTCTAGAAAGTGTACATGGCTTCTGATATCACAATTCTATACTAAATTGGTTAGCTCATCTTGCTTTTTTTCTGCTGAGGTAAGACAGCAGTACACTAGTGAGTCTGATGATCCTCTATACTATTGTTGTCACTGAACTACAGCTGCGATAAAAACAAGTGCCTGTTTCAAGACATACAACAGCTCTTCAAAATACATTTTATTCAGGACCAGCATCAATTCACCTCCAAAATAACTAAGATCAATCACTGGTTATGCTATTATAAACAAATGAAAGATAAAGATTTGAAATACTTGATAAGAAAGTTGCAACCTTCTTTTTATATAGCACAAATTGAGCAATGTTAAGAAATTATTGGAAGACAGAGGGAAAGTGCATTCCTACTAAATGTCATTGATTCTGTGTCTGAAAAAGAAAACCATAGAACCTTAAAGTCAAAAATTCTAGAAATTTCAGTCAAGAAAGTAGAAAAAATGTGTGACACATGGTCTTGGCCATTTGCTTAGACAACAAAAGAGAATTTTAAAAAATTGAAAAAGATTAAAACTTCTCAGATACAAACAATCTAAACCTCTGACATACGCAGCACACGATTTTTTCCAGTTGAGATATAAAGTAACACCTAGCCCAGTTCTGAAGATCATGAAAATTCAAAAATACTTCTGCAACCACCATAAGCTTCATGCGCACTGATGAAAAAACTGATGTCTCAGCTTCCCAATGACACTCTGGTGGAACTCTCAGGAAGACTGCGTGTTTATATTTGCATCCAACTGCCACAATCCTGAAACATGTGCTGAGCATAAAGAAGACTTTGATCAAAACACAACATGTATTTTACACAACAAGAAACTCTACAGAGAAGCACTACACTTTCAAAGCAACTGAAAGTGGTTTCGAAGGGACTTGACAGATGACGCTCAGGCTGATGACACTGCTGCTGCAGTCTCAGTGGAAATCTGTCTTGATCTATTTAACAACAATGAACTAGAACCACAAAAAAGACAATTCAAACTGATTCAGAGAAGTTCTGGAACCTTTCCATTAACTTGGCCAGGATTAGCTTTGGAGTCCTTCCACTACTGACCGCAAATACAAAAGCCATCAGGTGAAACATAATCTCAAATTCCTTAATACCCTTCTAGCATTTAAAATTGAAGATCCAGATTTCTACCCTAATTCTATGTCTATGAAGGCTGTTGTTACAAATAATAACATCAAAATGGTTGAAAAGCATGGAAATAAAACTGTGGGGAAACTTCATAATAGGCTAGGTACTGAAATACAAAATAAATTGGTGAATGTGTACTGGTATAGAAGGGAAGATAAAGAATAATAAGACAATAGTAGACTGGAGACTCAATTATTGTTTTTAGGCTTTACTTACAGAAAAAATGCCTTTTTATAGTATAAGAAAATATAATGAAAGAAATATATCATAAAAGAAATACTATGCACTTGACATAAATCTTTATGGTTCTCTCCATCTTTTTCTAGGCCTCCTCCCGCTCCTCCCCCCCTCAAGAATGAGGGGTGGGTTTTTTTGAAAAGGGGGAAATCATATCAATCTTGACTAATACCCACTCATTTGTCTGTTAAGATGAGACTATTTGAAAAGACATGATTTTTTTGCATTTTATAACAAAAATGGACAAAGCTAATCATATGTAGATATCATCTGAGCACTTACAAGGGAGTTTTTTCAGATGGTCTCTATCCAATCTCTGATGATGATAGGATGGTAAAAATGCCCATGACCAATCTACACTAGAGCTTCCACAATTGTTAGCACTGGCTGATCTACACAAGTATTAGGCCATGGCAGGAGAATTTCTGTAAATCTTCAGTGCAGATGCAGTCTCTGTGATGCTTTTGTACAGTAAGTCCCTTTTATTGGTGCTATGTCTCATACCCTGAAACTAACAGGGCGACTTGCTGAACGCCAGAGTGATAGTAATACCTGCTGAGCAAGACAGTCAGAAAGCAGTTTTGTCCTCTAAGAGGACAATATCTACCACCTTTCCAAAGAACAGACCTGTCTGCACAGTGTTTTTAGTTTGATATGTTTTGTAGGTGAGAGAGGGTCAGTTATTGATCGTATTGATAGCAAGCATGGGCATTTAGAAACTGCTTAAACGTGCAGCAGCCATTTGAATACTTTTTGAGTGCAGTTTGACCTCCTGAAAGACCAGGATACAGTGACGCTTCAAAGAAGTGAAATGTTTCATTCTCCTTGCAATCACCTGCCTGCTTTCTCACTTTTGTCACAGAGACTATAAAAGGAACTCAGAAAGATTTGCTGGTAGCTAGCTTCAATTTCCTTGTAATATTACTAGATAAAAATGATACGGATATTTTAATTGAGACAAAACGCAAATCAGTACATATACAATGCGTAAATTAATTGTGTGGTACACTTTTGAAAAACAGTAAATGCATTTTTACCTTTGTGTCATAATTTTGTAGGCATCTGGGAGGAAGCATTCTGTGTTTTCCATTTGGAAAGGGTCAGCATCACAAATCTTGTCATCTGTCCGTCCATAATTAGCACTCTCTATCATAATGACATCACTTCCTGGACACCGAAGGTCAATGGAGTAGCCTTCGCAAGACAGTTCCCTCCTAACTAAACCAAATGGTAGTGCTGCTCGGCTGAAACCTTAAAAAAAAAAAATTAGGAATCAAATTAAAACAATGAGAAAAAACTGACAAAAGGAAAACATTTTCTGGCGTATGCATGAATGTTACACTTTCTATCCCATGCTCAAGGAGAGGAAAGTAACACAAGCCATTACAGACATTTTTTATCATGTTCACAGAACATAGCTTTTGGCATTGTAATCGTATTAGCCTAATTGCAAAAGATCTTTAAAAATTCCTGAATGTTTTCCAAAGATCTAAATTCATATTGAATTGGTCCAGGGTCTCCCTTTTAGAAGCAGCGATAAATACAGTAATGAAGTATTGCCAGGCATAAGAGAAAATCAGAGTGAAGAAACGTTTTCAGAATTTCAGAATTGCTTGGTGGTTTCTTCTGGATTCTACACATTCTGGGCTTTAATTAAAAAAATGTTACAAAGTTAAGTTTTCAGTCCTTTGCACTGAAAAGCTACTGTTTTTACAGTGTAAATCAATGTGCTGCTGCTCTTTTATTGCACACTTGCAGAAAACTCAGCTAAACAACAGGGGAGAATTCTTCTCACAACCAATTCACATAGCTGCCGAGTTTTCAGAGGCAGGACCTTAACCTCCCCTTTCTCCACCCCAGGAGAACCTGTGTCTCTAAGGCTATGTCTACACTACGGGGGGATCGATTTCAGATACGCAAATTAAGCGACGGGAATAGCGTAGCTGAATTCGACGTATCTGACCCGACTTACCCCGCTGTGAGGACGGTGGCAAATTGACCGCCGCGGCTCCCCCATCAACGGCGCTTACTCCTACCTGGGCTGGTGGAGTACGCGCATCGATTCGGGGATCGATTATCGCGTCCCGACGAGACGCGATAAATCGATGCCCGAGAGATCGATTTTCTACAGCCAATCCGGGCGGGTAGTGAAGACCAACCCTAAGAAGGATAAGGAGGGGCAGCTGGAGGAGTCAGCTGGAGCATCTGGATAGATGAAGAAGTTGACTCGGTGGGAGTTCTAGTAGGGGGAAGTGCTTGGTGCAGCTGAGTGTGTAGTGGGCAGTGGCAAAAGAAGCTGGTTGGGTGGGAGTGCCAGTGTCAGGGAGCCAACTGCAGCAAGGTCAGTCTCCTACCAACACACTGGGGCATAGCTGAGGCTAGCAGGGTGTTGCCTGATTGACTGCATATCCTAATTGGTGAACAGACGGAGCTAAACTACTACTTGACACCGTACATAACAGCCTGTAAGAGCTGCTCGGCAGACCTACATTTTAGTGTACGTACCTGTGCCATTTTGCATAAACTAATAGCACATTACTTGAGTAACAGCACTATGAGTAAGTATGTAAGTAATTTCTGCAATGGACTGCAGAAGTGTGCTGAAAAGTTCCTGCGTCCAATCAGGAAAATTCATCCCCTTTACAATCCCCCTTTCCCCCCCCCCCAACTCATCTTCTGTCTGAGAGAATTCCTTAAAGCAAACCATTCCATTGAGGGTTTTGAAGTAACATGCAATTATCTGGGGCACCAAAACCTAGGACTAGCTAATTCAATAGGAAACCTTTTGTCCTTTATCATCATTATGCAGTCAGTGTAGAGTGCTAGCATAAAGTAGCCATATGTTATATTCTGCTATACCAGGGGTTCTCAAACTGGGGGTTGGGACCCCTCAACTTATTACATGGCGGGGGGGCTGCGAGCTGTCAGCCTCCACCCCAAACCCCGTTTTGCTTCCAGCATTTATAATGGTGTTAAATATATTAAAAAAGTGTTTTTAATTTTGGGGGGGGGGGTGTCGCACTCAGAGTCATGCTATGTGAAAGGGGTCACCAGCATAAAAATTTGAGAACCACTGTGCTAGACGTACAAAATTTAACATAGATCAGATTGCTTTGTCTCCCTGACATAAAATTTGAACCCATCATCATCTTAAATTGTGGGATAAGTTAGATGATTTGATAGTACTAAATAACTTCTTTAAAAACAGTAGATACTTTTCAACAGCACCACAGATTTTTTTTTTTTTTTGCATTCTAGTAAAACTAGTAACACACTCTAGCACGGTTATAGTTAAGATTCCATAAAGGTTTCTGGTGTACACTAAAGGGTTAGGTATTTCAAGGATTACCTATTTTTGGTACTCTATACTCTGAACATTTCTCTCCCTTCCATAAGCAAAACATTTGGAATAATATACAACTATTATACACATACAGTCATTAAGTGATCAGAAATATTTTTGGTTCAGACATTTATTACACACATGCAACACAGCATATGAATCATTTGGTATAGTCTATTTTAAATATGGTGTATTGCAGGGGTGGCCAAAGTTACTAACCCTCCAAGCCACATATGATAATCAACAGAAATTCGAGAGCCGAGTGTGCTTGCCGGGGCTTGGGGCTTCAGCACCGTGGCGGGGTGGTGGCTCGGGTCTTCTGCCCTGTAGAGAGAGGGTTCTGGGGGTTTCAGCCCCATGGGAAGCACCTGCTGAAGCCCCCAGTCCCAGCAGGTGTGCCTCATGGGGATGAAGCCCTGAGCCCCCACAGGGCTGAAGCCCCTAGACTCCCCTCCCCGCTGGGCAAAAGCCCCTAGGCCCTCCACCGGGCAGAAGCCCCGAGCTCCCCCCGCCCCCCAGTCTGGTAGGTGGGAGAATGGGGAGGCGGTGTAAGGGGCTCTGAGAGCTGCACTTCAACTGTAAAAGAGCTGTGGTTTGGACACCACTGGTATATGTATTAATACTACTGGCATAATTATTATTTATTTACAGTAGTTCTCACGCTGTGCTATGTGTTTTCCAACCAAACACAAAGAATGCCTAGTTTGTGCACCAAAGAGTTTATAATAATAAATGCATTGTAATAATAATACATAGCTAAAATTCAAACAAAGACAAACAGACAAAGAGCAGGTGGTGTAGCACGTGCCATTTTGGGGCATTTGGATGGGGGCATTAAAGAGAATATTCTCAAGTCACATACACACTGGTTCCTTATAGTCATGGTATCAGAAGTATGTCTTTAGAAGAGAATCAAAAGCAGAGAAAGTAGTGGCTTTGTGGATCAGCAGTGGAAGAGTGTTCTGCGCAAAATGGAAGAAAGCGCAGAGATGACTGGGGGAGAATTTGAGAATAGTGGAGTAACTGGAGAAGCAGAAGAGACAAGAGGTGACAAAAAAGACAAGGCCAAATAAGTACAGAAGGGCAGAGTTATGTAGAGCTTTGAAGGAAAGGACAATAATCTTGAATTTGATGAGGTGGAGAAGGAGAATCCAGTGGAAAGATTTAAAGAAAGAAATGATATGGTCAAATTGACGGGCAAGAAAGTGATCTTGGCAGTAGTATTTTATATGGACTAGAGAGGCACTCTTCCTATTGTGTTAGTAATCTGTGGATTAAAACTCCCATTGAATTGAGATGATGAGTTGTAAGATCTCCAAAAGACTTGTTTCTTTTAATCATGTCAATCTGTAAGCGAAGTCAGTTTACACTCATCCATTTTAATATTTATTAAAAACAGAAGAAAGAACGGTACACTTTAAAAAAAAGAAACTTCAAATTAAACTTTCACATCATCCAAAACTCGTGCCCCTAGGTTTGACAGAACATATGATGCATGGCATCAAACACTAATATTAGATCTTTGCTAAATCTAGTCACAATGGGCCAAGATAAAGCCAGAAGGTCATGCTCTCGTCTCTGATACATGAGTGTGATTCAATTACAGTCGACATATTTTGATCCAAAGTATATACACTTTAGCTTGTGACTATAGCCTGTATATATTCTTCCTTTGCAACAAATTACTGCAGAGAAGCTACAGAATCTGACCATTACCCCATTCTGTGTCCCATAAGGGTGCAAAATGGGCAGAGGAATGAGATCCCCACAGATGCATATAACAGCTCCTCCAAACTAACCACCATGGCCCCAGCCATGCCAGGACTAGTAATAATGCTGCCAATGGTTGCCATTCCTGCATTCTGTGATTCTGAAAATGAATTCATCCAGGACAAAGTAGGGAATTAGTTAATTCTGCCTATGCTGCCGGATTTTTCCTGTGGCCTCCTGGCAGTTTGTAGAGGAGCGTTAGATGGGTGCAGAGCATCTTGCTTCTAAGAGAAGTTAAAGTAGCTGACAGTGTGTGGCTGACTGAGCACAGTAAGCCACTCCGTGTTTGCAGCATCAGGTCAGACACTTCTATTGTTACAGGGATGGTTCTGAAAATCATGCTACATTATCTATGATGAATACAGATCGTTACCCTCATTTATATTTGCAACAGGAAATATACTGAATCCTAAAAATTCTGTACTGATGCTAGCTAACTGCAAATCTTATATCTAAGGGAAGTGGCAATTGATTTAAGTATCACCAATTATACATTGACCTAGATTTCCACTCCCCTTTCCCTACATGCATTGCTCTATATTTGGGCTGACATTTCAAAATATTAGACAAGCTAACATCAGGTCACTCATTGGGTAACAGAGGACACTCAAATTATATTGTAGGATGCTACTTTGCAGAGAGAGAAGGCGGTAAAGCAGTGTGCTAGACAGGGAGGTCCCTCTATGGAATTTTTACAACACAACCACCATAAAGTAAGACAAAAAAAAAAATTAAAAGTCCTGTAACAAAGTTGATGTGATCTTTATTCTAAGCTTCATTTATAATCTTTTGCTATCAACAAAGAAAAAATAAGCATTTCAACAAGCAGAGTGTAATTCAATCCATCTTACAACCCTGACAATCGAAGAAAGAACTAGTGGGAGGCCTTGTGAGTGAAAAATCAATATTGCAGCTTTGTGCCGTGCAAATGTGAACACTGCCAAATAGCAGTGCTTAGGGTAAAATGAACTGTTTTGCTCCATTTTCTCCTCTCTGAACAAATGATTTTGAAAAGACAGCTTTTTTTCCAGTGCTATAAAATGTCAAGCAATAACGCTCTGTGCTTTTGGTGAATGACTGGAATAAATACCTCTTGGCAACAGGTGCAGTGACTTAGGACTGAAATACATTCACATTC